AGTAAGACAATAAGGTAAAACATCCGGATCACACCCTGAGATAATCCGGACGCAGAAAGGATAGCAAGACTGGCTATTAAGACTCTCATTTTATGGGAAACTTTCATGCTTGTCGACCATTTTTTGGCTTTTCTTCTGTCTCGACAGGCCGCAACGACCTTCAGTACCGAATCAAATTCCTCAGCTTCACAAATCATTCCAACTATTGGCCCGATGTTGTGGGCAGGCATAGATTGTTCGTCACATCAGGAGCTTCTTCATCGCGAAAAACGATTCTTTCAGCTTCAATCAAATATTCAACTGTCCTTTTGAGGGTCCAATAGTCCTCCGTATTATGTCTCACTGCTCCATAGTGGTATTCATATCTAGTATCAACTCGGTGCGATTTCGGGGCCACTGGCTGCAATAGATATAGCCTGATTAGCTTTAGTAACAAGCTTGAATATGATTCACCAATAGGAGTGAACTGATTCTTTCTAAAAGGTTCTCTTGGGCGAGGATTGTACTGGGGATCATTTTGTAGAGTATTATATGGAGCTTGGTAAGGATAGGCATTTCTGGGAGGTGGAGCTCGATTTTGTGGATAATGTTGTGGTCGCGGGTAAGGTTGCGCGTTCATCATCGCATAAGGAGGTGGTGCCATGGCATAAGCAACATCTTGAAGGGGATAATAATGTTGAGGGACCTCAGGAGGCATATATGATTAGCCGAATGACCTAGGGGCCCCCCTCGAGCTAGAAGCCATAATGGCTCCTTCTTCTCTCCCGTTTTCATTTATCAAATCCGCTGAACCATTTTGGACATCTGGTGATGTTGCTTTAAAAGCAACATGACTCAAGATTCGACCCGTTTTTAGCCCACTTTCTACCATCTCCCCAATTTTGATAGCCTCAGCAAACGACTTTCCAATAACGGACATTATGTTCTGGAAGTAGTCCGCCTCTTGGGCCTGTAGAAAGACCGTGACCATTTCAATTTCATCCATTGGAGGCTTTACCCTAGCAGTTTGTTCACGCCATTTGACAGCATATTCGCGGAAGCTTTTTGCGATTTTCTTTTTCAAATTGGACAAAGCGTTTCTGTTGGAAGCGATGTCCACATTATACTAGAATTGGCGGACAAAATCTCGGGTCATATTGTCCCACACATGCCAATGGGTAATTTCTTGATTCGTATACCACTTAGAAGCAATTCCGAAGAGGCTTCCCCCAAAATAGGCCATTAGCAGCTCCTCTTTTCCACCAACACCACTCAGCTGGTTACAGTACTGTTTCAGATGAGTGATCAGGTCTCTGTGCCTGTCGTACTTTTCAAATTTGGCGTCTTGAAGCCAGCTGGCAAGTGGACATGGGGAAACATACAGAGGTCAGAGTATGAGACACTCTTTTGGCGACTTAGACCTTGTATGTGTTTTAGGCTTTGTTCGAGGCTCTTCATCTTCCGAGGCATTTCCTCTTGCTCGGGATTTTTAACCACCTTTTCTTGCTCCACCAAGAGATCATATTGCGGAGGTTGAGTGAAAGAACACGTGGTCACATATGTTATTTCTGACTGAAGCTATGGACCCTAAAAGATGAACATTGGAGGCGGTGTCCTTGAAGCCGGTGACTGGGGGCGAACCACAGAAGGCATGCCAGGATCATTGGAGGGTTCCCGCATGGGACGAGTGGGTTGGGTACAGGCGCGTTGGTAATCGCACCTGACCTGGGATCAACTCAGGGAACCCAGGAATTGCACTTGGCGGATCCCTACCATTAGACCAGGCGTCCCACATTTCCAATATGCGAAGACACAACCTCTTATTCTCTTCAGCAGCTGTTGATTCTAGCTGCAAACTAGTCGATGTCGGGCTCTCCTTAGGACCGATGATTGGTAGATTGCTTGTGGAGGCCATCTGTGCCTTAGGATCTTGTGAAGGAGGGGAGGCTAGACTACCAACAAAATCAACCGCCAAACCCTGGCTAATTTGTACACCCAACAACCTTGTTAGTTTCGAAACATTTAATATATAGGAAATCGCACGTTGGGAAGCAATGCACCTGACAGTTAAACGCTTCTACCATATGTTTGAACGATTGCATGTTTCATCCCGACCTTAACCAAGTCTTTCAGTATGTACCTCTTTTCTTTTATTTCTGTCTCTCTTTAATCTCTCTTGATTTTCCCATTTTATTTTTGCCGCTCTCTTTTATTTTTGGCACTCTTTTTTTTTCTTTTTTTCTTTTTCACTCAATTTTTCTTTCTCTTTTTTTCAGTTTATTTTTCACTCAGTTAATTTTATGGCTATGATCGAATCTGATGAGGATTGCCTACGTATCATGGCGCCGCATGAATCAGATCATGCGTAGTACGGGAAGATCGAAAATGAAGTAAATAAACTAACTCTTTTTTTTGTTTGAATTTTTTGAAAGAAATGCGTTAAAAGAAGAAAGGAAATATTTTTTTTTGATATTTTGATTTTTGTTTTGTTTTTTGAAAGAAAGACTTCTAAAAATTCATTTGCTTTTGATTTGAACTTTGGAAATTTTAAATGTAAAAAAGAAAATATTTTTGTTTGAATTTTCATTTGTTTTCTCTTTTTCTAAAAAAGAAAAAAAATATTTTTGGATTTTGGATGTCGCCTCTTAATTTTCGAAAGATGGACTTTTAAGAAAATGTTTTGGATTACTGAGTTTTTTTTTACTTATTTACAAAAGTACTTCTAAAGAAAAGTAAAAACATTTTGGGACTTCAATTTTTTCAAAAATTTGTTTTTTGAAAGAGAGACTTTTAAACAAGGAAAAGAATTTTTTTTATTCCTTTTTTCTAATTTTGTTTTTTTGAATTTTTGAAAAATAAATATTTCAAAATAAAGGAAACTTGTATTTTGGATTTTAATTTTGATTGATTTTTCTTTTATTTCTTTTTTCCATGTAAAAGACTTCAGCATGAAGGAAACTACTTTTTTATTTAGTTTAAAAACTTCTTCTTCTTTTTAAATTTTCTAATGAAAGATTTCTAAAGAAGGAACTAAAGGAAAATATTTTTGGATTTTTTGAAAATTGGGGCCGGAACCGATAAGGTTTGCCTATGTATCTCACATCCGGTGAGAATCAGACCTGCGTAGTTCGGTCAGTTTTGACGGAACAGGGAAACATGACACTTGCATATTTTGGGTTCATGTTGAAATGACTTTTCTTTTTTTCAGAATTCCGGCAGAGTTTCAGAATTTTCTAAATACCTACCTCTCACTTTTTTTGATTTTCTTTTTTCTTTTTTGATTTTCTTTCCCTATTCTAGAAGCTGGTCAACATACAAGCCGAAACAAATAGATGCACAAGTAGCACGTAAGATGCATCAGGATGGTCTTTTTAATTTGGGTACACTTGTCATAGACGGACCCAACCCCTGTGTTGAGTCCCCAAAGTCAGATGCATGTGATGCAAACAAGTATTCCTACTAGGGATTCGGCATGATGATATGTTATTATAGGTTTAAAACTTGGGTGTATTGTTCTAGACCTGGCTTAGCCGAGCAAACAGCCCGAGTCGGGAGGGGGGGGCAGTGTACCGGAAATAAAGAAGTTTCACTAGCTTTGCAACTTGTCCGAACCTCGTTCTAAAATTGGGATATGACTCTAACAGAAAAGAAGTCACACGAAGTGCACACTTCCCAGATGATTTAGAAGACTCAGGGAGAAGAAGGGTTTCGTAACAGTTTATATGCAGTCCAAAAAATATCAAAACGGTAAAAAGCGGTACTTAGCACATTAGGCTCAAACATATAAAAATCAGATAATAAATAAAGCCAAGTATAATAGTTATCCTAAGCTCGAATTCTTGAACCCTGAACCAAAAGTTCTGGGTTCGATCATGATCCCCAGCGGAGTCGCCAGAGCTGTCACACCTCCTTTTTTACCACCCCAGGGGTATATAAGGGAGTTTTTCCAATTAAAGTTATATTATTCGAAATGAGATTATTTATTTAATTTATTTTTTCAGAGTCGTCACTTGGGATAATTATTTTGGTGTCCCAAGTTACCGGTTTATTTTAAAATCCCAAATCGAGGAATTCCAGACTTTATTTTTAAAAGTCTGCGAACTAGAAATTCTAAGTAAGGAATTCTGTTAACCCGGGAGAAGGTGTTAGGCATTCCCGGGCTTCGTGGTTCTAGCACGGTCTCTTTAACTATTATCAATTGGCCTATTAATTTACTACACATTTTAAACCTGTTGTGCATTTTTAACCTTATAACCGCTTTTAATTATTTTAAAATGCGTCTAGGAAGATTCAATGCTATTTAAAATAGGTCTTAAACCACGCTACATGAAATGCACCCGCGGTTCGCGACACGTTTTATTTAACATTGTTGAGAATTGAAATTGGGTCACATGAAATGTACACCCGAGTTTTGTAATTAAAAATCTCAACTACATTACGGGAACCATACCCGTAGCTATGATAAATTATTTAAAACGCGTCCAAAGAAACTACGAAGATTCAATTTTCAATAGCAACATTTGTGAGGGCAATAGATAATTTAATTTATTTATGGCACACCTCAAATCTTTTCTATACGAGTTAACTCTTGACTTAATTTTAAGAAGGCCATGAGTTATGGATTTTGTTTGCGTATGGCACACCTTAATTTATTTCAAAGGGTTTTATTATTCGAAGTTGTTATGATCGGGTTACATGAAATGCACCCCTGAATTTGGGAATTAGGTATTATGACTATGTCACGGGAACCGTACCCATAGTCACGATGAATTAATTATGTGCCTAAAGCAAACTACGGTATTTGTGATTCTATTATCCTAAAATTAGAGATTTTGCATGTGAGGTTCAAATATTATGGTAACATACATGTGGGAATCAACTCGTTCTTTTAATTTAAACAAAAAAAAAAGATTCTATTAAGAAAAAATTGGAAGTAGTTACTTTATCGAACTCTACTGGTTTGTAAACAATCCCGGAATGCATTGCAAATATAGCCTTGCAGTTAAGGTTACAACTTAAAATTCAAAGTCAACTCAATTTTGTATACATTAATCCTCCTTTAGATTGATTCTGTATACATTATTCCTCAGTAAACAATTAAAACCATAAAGAAGAAATAACATAATGAGCACCCCTACCATTTTAACTTTCATTACCACATTTTCCACCCAGCTAGGAGATTAGGGAACAAATATACAATTAATTGCATCTAATTATACATATTACAGTAATAATAATTTCAAAACTGGACAGCTTTAAGCTTATAGCCCTTTAGCTTCAACAAATCACCAACCCTTGTATTTTCTGCTTCAACCAAATGCTCATACTACACACATGTATTTCAAAACCCACATAGCATATCACCACATTAAACATAATTGATTGTGTATATGTGCATATATGCTGGATCTATCAATACCCACCTACTTTTTCTTAACTGTACCATCAATATTGACAAAACACAAAACAAATACAACAAATATAAGAAAATAAACAAAAATAACTAGATATATAAAACAAATCTAAAAAATAAAGAGAGGGAGGAAGAAAGAATACCTTTGCCAAGCAGAAAGGGCACGACTACGAAAAAATATTTGCGCAAGAAATTACCATCAACTTTTGTCGCGTACAAAGAAGCAAAAACCGAAAGGAAACAGCAACCCGTATTAAGGAACACAAACAGCAACGGCAAAATCAGCGAAGCAACATCCACGGCTCCAAAACAGCTTTCATAAACCCAGAAAGCGAAGAAATCAAGCTTCATTTTTAAGAATCGAAATTAGGGAGGAAGGAGCTGAAATTCATGTTCTTTTCTGATTTTAAAGGAAAGAAATCACTCCATTTCTTTTCTATGAACAGATTGGAAAAGAAGAAGCAGAAAACCGACTTTAGAATTCTTTTTTTTAAGTTTCAGTATTGTAGGTTTTGGACTCGATTTTGAAATGCTGAAATTCGTTTTCAGCCCCTTCTTTTCTCTTTTCTTTTTTATTTTGTGATAATTTGTGTATTTGGATGGAATTTAAGGGAGAGAATGAATGTGGAAGAAGTTCTGTTGCTGAAGATGAGAACAGAGAAGAAAGAAAAAGGGAGCAGGGTTTTTTTTTTGCGCTGCTACTTCTATTTTTCAGAGAAGGGTCTATATCGCTTGGTTCTCTCCCCAAATCTCATCCTCTAGGTCTAGATTTTAGAGATTTTAATGAGAGAGGGTAGTGGGTTTGGGGATGATGGGTTCAAGTGTGTTTGGGCTGGGGTTGGATTGGGGAAAATGATATAACGATTTTATATAGTAGGGGAGCCGGGCGGGTCATGTCCATTTTTGGGCTGGGACGGTGGGTATTTGGGGATGGGTTAATTGATTTTGAAGGGAAAATTATTGGGCCGAATTGGGGATATTGAAAATGGCCCAATTTCAAAAAATGAAACTCTTTTCCAATTCTTTCTTTTATTCATAATTTTTCTTTTCTTTCCCTCTTTTTTTTAAATTAAAAATCCTAACTTATCTAAAAATGTGAAATTAGACTAATTAAATAATTATAAAAATTACAAACATCACTTAATTCTAAATTAAAAGAGGAAAATCAATAAACTAAAATTAAAAGATAAAATGTAAAAATGAACTATTTTTTTGTGATTTTCAAATTTTATAAAGCAAATAATTACTGATTAATTCTAAAAATGTAAAAACAAATCTTAAATGCAATGCATGACATTTTTGTTATTTTTTCATAATTTAAATAAAAATTAAACATGCACAAAAAATGCAAATAATTGAGAAAATTTCTAAAAAAAATTCCTAAAATGGCAAATAATTAACAGAAAACTTATTTTCCTGGGATTTTATAGGAGTACTTCATATAGGGTAAAAATCACATGCTTACATTATTTGTTCACTAAAATTATTTAAAATATTAACTTAACATTATAAAAATATAAAAAAGATATTTTTTGCATGAATAATGTAACTATACATGAATATAGGCTATTATTACAAAAATGTGAAATTAGCCTAAAAATGCAAATATAATTATGAGAAATGAAATGAGTATTTAAAAATATGTATGTTGGTCTAAATAATAAGTTTGGATCATAAATATAATTTGAAGGATAATTATTGAGTATTTATACAATAAAAATGCAGAAGAAAATTATTTTAAGGCTTCTAAAAATCATGAAAAATTATGTAAAATGCTTGTATGGGTTTATAAACTAAATGAGGATGCACATATAATGTTTTGAAAGTATATATGTATGTTTTAAAAAATATGAGGGAAATATTGGGTATCAATAGCTGCCCCTCTTTACCCTAAAATGATATAAGAGTTGTCGGGTAAAGAAAATGATGACCAATTTTGGCCGAATTGAATGTAGGATGATGTGATTTAGGAAAAATGGGGGCCGAACCCTGGTTCCTGAGTTTCCTACATATCCCTAGTGTTACGGGAATCAGGCCATGTGTAGTTATGGATCCAACGGTGAACAAAACAGATGGAGTTATTATAGGAATGGTCGTATGTTTCGGAAAGGGTTCCTTTGGGTAGGACAGTATCGGATGAATTTATGCAAAGTCATTAATATGAATTTGAAACGTTATGGCTATATCAATGAGCAAATACTTGAACGGTCATAGAGTAAGAAGCAGGAATTGATGATGGTCAGTTCGCTTTGAAATAATTGTAGGATGCAAATGTTATGAATGGAAACCGGAGCGAGGATTGCTCCTATTTGAAGAATGGTTACTTCCTGGATTACATGCAAAACTTAAAATACGATGCATGCAAATATATATGGGTTATTGCAAGAATTTAAACATGATGCAAATTCCCTTTGGACCATGAAGGTTGTCTTTGGACGGTGAGGATGATGTCCTTGGACCATGATTTCCTGGGAAATGAATCGTGAGATAAGGGATTCGCATGCCATGAAATGATGTTCTCCGGCCATGAAAATGGTGCCTCTGAACTATGACGCCTTTGAATAATGATGTGCAATATTAAGAGATCCTCAGGCCATGACATGCTGCCTTCCAGCTACGAGAATGATGCCTTCGGAATATGGTGCCTTTGGATAAGATGGCAATGTTTTATCCCATGAGATGCAAAGACATGATGCTGGGTCATATGCGAAGCAAAACAAGACAGAGCTTAGTCTTACATAAGATTCGGGCAGAGCTTAACCACAGGAAAGCAAAAAATAGTGCTAGATTTCAAGTAGCATAGCATTCGGTATTATGAAAGGAAAGGTAGAGCTTAGAGTTATGTAGTTGAGGTAGCAAGACTTAGCCTCATGCAAGAAAGGGAGACAGTGCTTAGTCTCATGCAATTAGGAGACAATGTTTAGTCTCATGCAAAGAAAGGCAATGTTTAGCCTTATGAAGTTTAGGAGGCAGGGCTTAGCCTTATGCAAAATGGGAGATAATGCTTAGTCTCATGCAATTAAAGGAGACAAGTCTTAGTCTCATGCAATGAAAGGCAGTTCTTAGCCTTATGCAATTGAGGAGGCAGGGCTTAGCCTCAAGCAAAAATAGGAGACAATGCTTAGTCTCATGCAGGGAAAAGCAATGCTTAGCCTTATGCAATTGAAAAGGCAGGGCTTAGCCTCATTCAAAATGGGAGACAATGCTTAGTCTTATGCAATTAAAGGAGACAGGGCTTAGTCTCATACAATGGAAGACAGTGCTTAGCTTTATGCAATTAAGGAGGCAGGGCTTAGCCTCATGCAAAATGGGAGACAATGCTTGGTCTCATGCAATTAAAGAAGACATGGCTTAGTCTCATGCAATGGAAGACAGTGCTTAGCCTTATGCAATTGAGGAGGTAGAGCTTAGCCTCATGCAAAATGGGAGACAACGCTTAGTCTCATGCAAGAAAAGGAGACGAGGCTTAGTCTCATGCAATGGAAGACAGTGCTTAGCCTTATACAATTGAGGAGGCAGGGCTTAGCATCATGCAAAATGGGAGACAATGCTTAGTCTCATGCAAGAAAAGGAGACAAAGCTTAGTCTCATGTAAGTAAAGGTAATGCTTAGCCTTATGTAATTGAGGAGGCAGGGCTTAGCCTCATACAAAATGGGAGACAATGCTTAGTCTCATGTAACGAAAGGATAATGAGTGATAGCAGAGTATTTTCTTATCTGGAGACATGTTTACATTTGGCAGCCTTGTTGTTATGAAAATAGTGATTTTGATATGTGTATACTTGAGAATATTCATGTTATGTTCATTGTGCCTGCATTCAAAGAAAAATTATGAGTTTTGTGGGGAAAGTTGGTTCATGCCTTCACCTGCTTGCTTTGCTTTGCTCTGGAGATCCTATTTGAGTTACCGTGGGTAACATCTGGCTGCCATAGAAATACAGTTTTCGAAAAATATGTATGCATTTGATAAACATAGTTATTTAAAAACATAGTACTATACGAAATTGAGTAAACTAGACGAATCAATGACTATTACACTTTTAGAGACATTGTGACTTCCTTGCATTAGAATTTTTAGGGTCCTCCTCAAAATTCTGGCCCAGTTTTATAAGCGATTCTTCGGCCGTTCTGCATATGAAGAAATTGTTTGGACTTGCTCCGGAATTTTGAGGGTCCTCCTTAAAATTCTGCCCCAGTTTCTAACCCTGGGGAAAATGAAGATTTTATTAAGATATGACCGAACCCACAGGGCTGCCTACGTATCCCCTCTTAAATAGGAATCTGGTCAAGCGTAGTTCAGTTTGGTTTCGTTCAAATTGGACTTAGGCTTATTCTCAAAAAATTTCACCTCTCTGACAATTTCCTCAGGTATTATATCTTCTTCTTATATTTCCTCTGAATCACTATCCTTATGTTGTGTTGTCTCATTACATGTCACAGTCGTCGGTTCATCAGGATAAGTAATAATAATGTTATATAGAGAAAATGTAAAGGAAAATAATATTTGATGCGATGTCCGATCACAAATTAATGAGTTTCCTCGATGCTTACTTTGGCTACAACCAAATTAAGATGAACCCATATGAATAGGAAAAAACTTCGTTCGTAACAAGCTTTGGCACATATTGTTATAATGTAATGCCTTTCAGGCTAAAGAACACTGGAGCCACTTACCAGTGGCTTGTAAACAAAATGTTTAAGAAACAAGTAGGGAATGCTATGGAGGTTTACATAGATGATATGCTGGTTAGGTTTTTTAACGCAAGTGATCATCTTAAACACCTGCAATAAACTTTTGTCATCTTAAGGAAGCACACCACGAAGCTTAATCCCGAGAAGTGTGCATTCAGGGTCAGCTCCGGTAAGTTACTGGGATTCCTTTTGTATCAAAGTGGGAGCGAGGTTAACCCCGACAAAATTAAAGCCATCGAAAACATCCTGGACCAACTTTCAAGTGTAAAAGAGGTTCAAAGGCTGACAGGGAGACTGACCATTTCGCGATCTTCGAAAAAATGCCATCATTTCTTTGCACTCCTCAAAAAGAAGAACAACTTCAAATGAATCCCGGAATGTCAATAGGCTTTGAAGGATTTGAAAAGGTATTTGTCAAGTCCTTCATTGCTTTCAAAACTAGAGGAAGGCGAATGAGTACTAATCTACTTGGACATCTTGGAGGTAGCGATAAGTGTCATTTTAGTCTGCGAGGATGAAGGTACACAATCCACTATCTATTATGTTAGTAAAATTTTGACGGGAGCAAAATATTCTACCCACATTCCGGAAAAATTTGCTTTAACCCTTGTAATTGTCGCTAGAAAACTAAGGCTTACCAATGTCACTCAATAGCTATGGTGACCATATTTCCCCTACGGAACATTCTTCATAAACCTGAATTCTCAGGTAGATGGGGCAATCGAAATGAGTGAATTTGACAAAGAATATAAACCTAGGACTGAGATTAAGTCGAAAGCTTTGGCCGACTTTATGGTTGATTTCAGTCTAGGACTTTTACCTTTGGCTACCAAAAAAGCAGTGATGGTGTCAGAATCATCATCGGGTGTTTGGACCTTATTTACGGACAAAGCTTCCAACGTGAAGGGGTCCGAGATTGGCATAGTGCTAGCCATGCCCTCAGGAGAAACCCTAAGGCATGCCATAAAAACTGTTCCTCTAACTAACAATAAAGTAGAGTATGAAGCTTCGGTGTAAGACTCGAGCTGGCCCGTGTATTGGACTCCGAGGTCATAGAAATCAAATGCGACTCCCAATTGGTAGTAAATCCGGTCTACAGGATATTCGAAGTCAAATAGGAACACATGCAACAAATGTAG